TTTTTTTTTTTTTTTTTTTTTTTTTTTTTTTTTTTTTTTTTTTAAATATCATTGTCAAGTTCATAGGACTTTTTTAGACATTTAATTCTTTTAATGTTTCCCTCTATAAAAAGTCAATGTATATTATTCACATGTTTAGTTATATTTGGATACACTGTAAATAAGATTAAATTAATTTAAAATATTATGTTGGTTTTCTTAGAAATACATAGGTATGTACAGAAAAGAAAAATAAATTAAAAAAAAATAAACAGGAATAGGAAGGTGTAATTGTATTGCCCCCATCCTACGCTGATGTCTATTGTCAAACCCCAGCTAAAAATCAATTTAATTATCTTGCAATTTTAGATAGAATTTAATGCAAGTATGTATTTATATATTTAAGGCAATACAAAGAGGTGAAAACCCAAATCTCCTCTTTTAGGTATTAAACCTCATAACCTACTTAATTTAATTGACTCCTAAACTCAACCAGAAATATATTATTCGTCCAAGCTGGCTACAAAATACAAATCCAGCCACCTCACTCAAATATCCTTCAAATCCTACCAACTCACTCATACTACTTAAAACCTCACACAACTTACCTAATTCATTCAACCTCACACCACATCCAACAAAATCAGCTCATTCTTTTGGACGCACTGATTTAGGTAAGAACTACTCCTGGGATTAGCTTGGATTGCATGCATGCTAGTAAACCTATCCGAAGTGGATTAACTAGAGAATGATAGCACTATATGTAGTAACTCTGAGCATTGTCTGTACGTCATTATCATGCTTTACGTTCTGTTGTACCTATGTTTTATATTATGCTGAAAAGAGGATGGAGGATTTTGTGATCTGCGCTCCAGGTGCTTGATGGATGTTATCTTTATCGCCCCATTAAGCATGTATGATTGTTTTGCATGAAATTTTGTAGGATGAATTTAGGTGTGAGGATGTGTGTACTCTTCATTAATTTAAAAGAACCAGAATCGTGTTAAGACTAGGGATTTATGGCTTGGTTGGCTCGTCACTAAATTTAGATCAAGACGCCCTAGTAGCTCAAGCTCATAAGAGCGCGAGCGGCAGACGGAGGGTAGTAACTCTAGTGCACGCAATAGAGACAGAAACCTCATACGAACTACACCAGGCATGAACTCAAAAGGTAAGGTTCTTGGTGATCACCTAACCTCTCTAGGAGCCTAGCAGACCACCACGGCCTATAAACCACCATGGAAGTTTCCTGAATCTGCCAGTAGTGTGATTGGTGTCAATAGATGCCCCACTCACCTTCCATACTTGTAACAAGAATGAAGGTTTAGAAGGGGAGTATGGCCCCAACTTCGTGGTATAACCAGGGGTTTCTGATCAGGACTCAGTAGATGCTAAGTTGTTTCCGCATAGAGAGCGTGAGACCACGTCGTATAGCCCAACAGCGAGATGGGATGAAGGTGACTTTATGGACCTATGGGAGGTACCAGCTAACTTCTTAGGTATGATGCCATATAGTCTCATAAGAAACATGCATGTCGGTACGTCTCAGAGATGGTCACCCGTCATTCACTACGCAGCATAAGAAAATACCAAGGTATAAAACATAAGGAGGAAGACCAGAACCGACTCCTAAATGGGAGACCAGACCTAGATGTCCTAGAGCCAAAATAAAAGTCCGTGGAAATTTTTTAGGTTAAGAATGCTATGAGATCCCACCGGGAGGTGACTTACTGAGTATAACTTTCCCGCGCTTTTATTTTAGGGGGTGATGCTACAGGGGAGAAAATGGTGTGTTGGGAAAAAGTGGAGGTCACTTAAGGAAAGCAGTCTCAAGACGTTGTCATCTTTTCTCAAGGCGTTGTCATCTTTTCTTTTATTCCCCATTAAAACTGGTAAATGATTTGTTACATTTTTTTTTTTTTGGGCCTTGACAGTAATTGCAAATCTTCAATTTTCACAAAATCTTCCTTGTAGGAACCACTAGAAAGAAAGTGATATGGAGAAACATCATATTTACAGCATACTCTACACAAAATCTTCTTTATGTTTTGGTTCAAGTTAAGGGTTCTATTTACAGCGTACTCTACACATTACGGGTGTTGATTAACAATCTCTTCCACACTATATATACACGTTTAAACCCCATCTTAAACCACGCAAGCCTCTAAATGTCACATAAACATATAACTCCCAACATCCCTTTCAAATGTCAATCATCAAGAACCAGAAAAGAGAAAAATAACAACACCTTTGCTTCACTCACACCTACTACTACACATGATACTGAAAAGAAGAAGCTTAGGGAAAAAGAAAAACAATTTGAAGTGTGCATATATTTTATAGCTTACAAACCAAGAGAATAGAAAAGTTGAAGTACAGAACATTTCATAATAAGCTAACAAACAGAAACATTGTAAGTGTAGTGAAGAGGGTGAGGAGAGGCTTCAAACTGAAAAAGGACACAATTCTGAAGCTCGTCCTTGCAAATCAGAGCTTCCAACTTCTCCAAATCTCTCATATTTTCCACAAGTATGATGAGATTAACCATTACAAGAACCACCAAAAATACCAAATAAACAAACTTTGAAGCATTGAAAAATATGGAATACGCAACCAATGACAAGAACTGCATGGCCTTTAGCTTTCGCTTTGCTTCGGATCTTCTCTCTTCCTTTGATAAATATGTAGAGTTTCATAACTGCCACACAAACAGTTCCAACTTATATGTATGTACGTGCCAATGTAGGCATAGCCAAGAAGATTATTAGTGGAGTTTTTTCTGTTCACCACTTAAATATACAAAACAGTTGGTTGTTGAATTGGTATTAAATGAGAGGATTGACTTGTACACACCATTCTTATGAAATTTAATTATTTATATAATATGTCTATTGTTCCTGATTTCTCTCTCGTGATTTCAATTCAAATTGTTGGAGAGCTGTTAGATAAGTTTTATTATGTTCATGGGGTCCAAATAATAATTAATGAGATTGATTTTTTATTCAAAATGCTTTTAATACAATTGATCTTTCATTAGCAAAATATATTTTATAGATTCGTATGAGTTGTTTGGAATAAGAATTCTATGTGTGATATTATATTATAACCTAACTTATAAGACTTTAAATATTAAACTATATGATAAAGATTACACCTAATTTTAACCATTAATGCATGTCTCATCACAAGAATGCAAACAGGTGCCTACATCACAAATACAAATTTTTAAAATTAAAAAGTGTGTATAGCTATTAAAGTCATTATTATTTCTTTTAACTAAAAAAAGTATCACAGACATCATTTAATTACCACAAGGTTGGTTGTCTAGTTATTTTTGAAGGTGGAGGGCCACAAAGTTGAAGCCAGATACAATAGCCATTAATACAAATTTTATCAAATGGTCGGTAGGAGAAAGCTCAATTCACCAACTTTGATGTGACATTCAGCTTCAAAAGGGTAACAAGTAGTTGGGTGAAATTAAAATATATCTTACTCTTAAAATCATATTTATACTCGGAGTTAAGAATATTAAAGAGTATAAAAAGTAATTATCGAATATTTTTCAACTTCAGTCGCTGGAATGTGGTCAAAATTAAGCAATCAAAACCATCAACTTACGAATGCATACAACATTAGTTATACTTGGGGTTAAAGACGAGGCTCCAGCTACACCAACAGGGCTTGCAATCCCATGTTTAAGCAAAGACAAACTGGATTTATAGGATATATATAAGGAAAAGTTCCAATCTAGCACGTCTTTCCCATAAAATCATATTTATTGCATGTGTCTTTTGCTGCCACCAGTAGAAGCATAATTCAAGATGGCAACCATTTGATTTCCATTTTCAGTGTTTTATCCAATCAAGCAAGACACAAAATCAAGCACCCAATGGCGTACTTTGTTCATCAATCATTTGTAATGTTTTCTCGAGCTCCCCTACCTAAGTCAACTAGTCCCAAGGGGAATTTGTAATTTGCTTCTCATCACCAATTATTTACAAATTGGTGAAAGCAGATGACCACAGTGCTTCCAAGGTTGTCTATAAAATGATGATACACAAAGAACTATCCAAGGCTGCCAACCACAGAATTGAACAACTTTGATCCAACCATTTAGTACATAAATTCCACCGCAGTATCTGAGTGGTTGAAATATGTTTTTCTTCATCTATCAAAAGGGTGTTCAAGCTGTATGGGGAAATTATATAAACACAGCAGAACAGTTTACAAGTGGGAGCCGAATAACCAAGCAACAACCAGGCATTAATTTTTGGGTTGCCGTTCGTCCCTAAACACCATTTTTTGCTACATGCTTAATTGGAAATTTAATACGAGGAGTCAAAGTCATATATCATTACTGAAGAATGCATTGAAAAAGGGACGGGAAAAAACTAAGAAACAAATGGTCAAGTATCATTGCTGAACAATGCATTGGAAAAATATGGACTACTTACAACGGCCGAATGGGAGTACATTTTGTTCTTTTTTTTTTTTTTTTTTTAATCAAGAGGCACTATACCTTAGAAGACCACCATGAAGTGCCTTCAGCCCTTGTAGTAGCCATTGTTATCTGCCCTTGTGACATTCTATCTACCGGAGATAGCGAACTGTCATCTGCGATTCTTTCGATCTAAATAGTTCATCCCTTATCTTTCCTTGTACTCTTCCTTGCTTCGTCTTTTGGGTTCTCGCTCGTCTCTCCTGTCCTTGTAACCATCATCAACTGTATTGTATCTTTTCTTATAATGAGACCCGTCTTTCATCTCTGCTTTGTCACCGTCTGAATCTCTTTTTTTTCCATAACTTCTCTCATCCTTCCTATATTCTCGACCAGCATCTGTACTTCTCCTTCTACCATCTCCCTCGTACCTTTTCTCTTCATGGCTACTCTTATCTGAATGCCTTCTGCCATAAGTCTCTTCATCCTTCCTCCTATCTGACTTGTCGCTATCTTCCCTTCTGCTTCTATTTCTATTAGCCTCATAATCCCTCTTGTCATAAGCGTCATTATCATGTGTTGCTCTTCTTTGATAATCCAACTCCTTTTTCCTGTCGTCATCCCGGTCACTCTGTCTCTTCCTTCGTTTTTCATGGTCCCTTCGGTCTTCAAAGTCATCCCTGTCTCCTCTGTATCCACTGGATTGTCTTGCTTTATTTTCCCGATGCATCTCTCTCTCCCTGTATTTATTTCTGTCACTTGATTCATGCCTATCACTTGCACCCTTCTTTTCTGCATAATGATCACGATCATTGGGGCTTTGCTTTCTAGGCTTCTCAACATGCTTATCTTTACCATGATCTCGATGTCTCTTTTCTTTCCTATGGTTACTTCCATTATCCTCATCAAATACAAAGTCATACCTACAAAATGATTCAGCTGTCATGAGTGTGTGTGAGAGAGAGGGGGCGGGGGTGTACTGGTGCAACTTCACAAACCTTGATTCATTTCCACCATGCTGGATGTTATCGTCCTTCAAGATGAACTTTTCAGATCCACCAGTGCAATCCTTAGCCATATGGTCGGGAGCGCCACATTTAAAGCAGCCTCTTCCTACGCCCAGAAGCTATAAGTTCAAGCCGAGCAATTTTCTAGTTTTGTTCCATCAATTATGTGATTAGAAGTAAAAATGAAAAGAAAATTAAATATCAAATTACATGAAAGATTTGCGAGCAATTTTTACCATTAAAGAAACCAAGCAGTTACTCCATAGAATATGCCACTCTCACCTTTATCCGTTGAGTAATCTTTTCGCCGGTATTGGGACCATAGTTTTGCAACACTTTGACTGAAGTCCACATGTATCCTTCTATCATCAATCAGCGCATTGTCCATCTTCCATCAACAAACAAATAATGTCAACCCAACATCAGTTATTCTAAAATAAATAATAAGATTAAAAAACAATCTTTGGAACAAATGGAAAAGGGAGCGGAAAAAACATGTTTTTTAACAAACCTTAAAATACGCTTGTTCACATGCCTCTTTTGTCTCAAACTCTGTCCACAACGAAATAGGATTGAGTCAGCTGAAATTTTAATTTAAAATTAAAAAGCACCAAAACCATGCTGGAAAAGAAGTTTTCACTGCCTGCTCCGCATATACTACGGTAATAAGAACCAAAACCAAGTAGATTTAATAAGTACGGAGGCGAACTTGAACACCATAGACAAGATGGGCGTCGTATTGTAATCCAATGGAAAAATTACTCAAAATTCTTAAAAAGAAAAGAAAAGAAAAGAAAAATGTTGTCTTAATAAAGATAATTGACCATTGATCCATAACCATTATAATGCATCAATATTCCAACTCTTCCAATAGCATATTTTCCATCATCATAAAAACCCTGAAGTAAAATCAATTAAAAACTTGCAAATATAACAACATTGCGTCAGTTCATTTTTATCTCCAACATCATATGCACTCAATTTTCACCTGGAAGGCTAAGATTCGAAAACATGACTCCATGCAAGTTTCAGGCAGAGGATCTATGTATTTCCAAAATTGTTATTTCTTTTCCAGCATGAATCTAATCTCTCCAGTTCCATCTCTGTGTGGTCTATTCTAAAGGATCTTACATAACCAAGGAGAACAATAAAAGGCATGCCCAAATTTATAGACCATACACAACACACCGAAGGAAACCACATCTAACACCCCAAAGTTACATTGAACAATATTTCATGGTTAAGAAGCTCAAAATATTCTTGTTGGTATCAGGGGATTTGACCTCATTGTTAATCGGTCTTCTAGGTACGACTATCCCTTCTGCTTAAGCCTTGGAATGAGTTACATGAAAAAATAGCCCGTACATCCTAAACCTTGGGACTAGAACCCACTCAGTATGTTACAAGATATTATTTTTTTTAAAATAAAGGGATATAAAAAAGACAAATTTTATTAGATTGACTCGGAAGGCAGAAGTTGTACATTAGAGAGAATACTAGGGGTGTTCGAACTTGTATAGCATTCAAAGAGAGCCACCTTGACACTTGAGATTTCAATTCTAAAATAAGATATGCATAATTTTAAGTTCAAGTGCACCTCCATGAAAGCATAAATTTCAACCCACCTATGAAGGCATAGCATAAACTATCTCCAGTCTTGTAATCACGGATAACTTCAGCCCTGAAATGACATAATATAATATTTATCAGAAGCATGTTAAATACAGATCCAAAAACTTACTGAAGCTTATTGACAATTACTTACGATAACACAGTGCCAAAACGGGAGAAGATTGTATGCAAGTCCTCATCCTGCATTCACATGCATTCACAATCATTGAGATACTTGAACCTAAATATAATAATTACCATTAAATCAGTGAGAAAAGTACAAACTTACTTCTGTGACTGGATTCAATTTACAAACAAATAACACATTATCAGGAGGCTTTATCTCAGCATCAGGAATATCTCCAATCTGCCCAGAAAAATGGGAATATAAGGGTGTACAACTATCTAAGTTGGTAAATGGTAGAAATAAAGATAATATGCAGGACCAGAACATGAAATGAAGCTTACAGTTTCAAGCACAACAGCCCTGGAGTGAGCTTCTTTTGCACGAAAGACCTCCTCAAGTTCTGCTGGGCCCAATTGCTCATCCAGTGGCACCCAATCATCTTCCAGTCGCACCTCATCAACAACCTTCTCACAACAGAAGGAAAAAATCACAACTTTAGGGCATATTTACAAAGGAAAGCTCCCTAGGTTCAAACTCAGTAAACAGCTGAAAATAGAACCAGGATTGCACGTTGATGAAGTCATCAATTACTATCCTCCATAATATGCCAAGGCAACCTAAATAGGTCAATATGTCCCTCAATGAAATTGAAATTGAAATGTCAAAATGGCTAAATGAAGTAATTGATTCCAGTACTTTTAGACAGTTCAAACATATATTAAGCTCTTTCATAAAAAATAAAAAAATCTAATCTAATCCCATTAAGAGCTTAAAGAAGAGAGAGAGAGAGAGGACCCTCTATCAGTATAAGGGGGTAAATTTGAAACAACTTCGTATAAAAAACCAACGAGCTTAACAAATATATATTAAGCTCTTTTTAAAAAAATAAAAAATCTTATGTACTCCCACTAAGAGCTTAAAGAATAGAGAGAGAGAGAGAGAGAGAGAGAGAGAGAGAGAGAGAGAGAGCCCTCTATCAGTATAAGAAAAGGGGGTAAATTTGGAACAACTTCGTATAAAAAACCAAAGAGCTTAACAAATATTAAGCTCTTTTTTAAAAAATAAAAAATCTAATATACTCTCATTAAGAGCTTAAAGAAGAGAGAGAGAGAAGACCTATCGGTATAAGAAAAGTTGTAAATTTGAAACAACTTCATATAAGAAACCAAAGAGACATGAAAATGAGTCCCCACAACGACGAACCTCCACCCAAAATCCTTACCCATCTAAAAACAATCATCCGTAACTCTGCCATGATTCCTTTACTATTTCAACATTAATATGCTCCCATAACCATCAGCTCTAAAGTGGACTTGTAATTCCCAAAAAACCAAAGCATAAAAAAGCATAAAATAGTGTTCAGAATAATATATCTCAAGACAAATTATTAGAGTGAATGGAGCCATAATGGTTTTTTTTTTTAAAATAAAAGACCATTCAAGGGATGTAATATCCATGATGTTTACAAAAGACCTTCCCAATTTGCAATGAGGGAGGTATAACTATAGAAAGTAAAAATATTAGACATAGCTTGGTAAACAGCATTGTCAAAAAGTTTTGTACAAGTTTGTGTCTTTTCTGTCAATATTCTTGAATTTTTTTCTTTCCAGAGATTCCAAAAGAAAGTCATGATGAGATTTTTCCATAGTAAGACTTTTGCATTAGATCATTTACCCTCCTAGGAAATGTGAGATGTCATCCGAATATATTGAGAATCGTTGATCAGAAATTCTGAGCGTATGTGCATTGCATAAATAAGTGGCTTTGTGATTCGTTTTTTTTTGTTGCAGAAATGGACACCAATTTGGATAAAGAATGATGTAAGACATTCTTTTTTTTTAAGATTTTCACTTGTGCTAATGATTTTATGTGCTATTTCTCAAAAGAAGAACTTCACCTTTTTTTGATGATGTCCTTTACATACTATTTTTGCTAGCATGAGATTTATTGCTTCTTGTGATTCGCCCCACAAGTGTTTTCAGGTGACCAGGAAATCAAGTAGGGACAATTGGGACGCAACCCCTAATTGTGAACTTTCCTAATAGGGTTAGGGTCTACTTGGTACATAGTGGTTAGTTGTCACTCGCAGGGGACGCCAGGAGTCGTAGAGGGTATGCTACCAGGGTGCACCTGGTAGCCAGTTATTATGTGGTGCAAGCGATCATCATGCTAGTCTGCGTATATTTCACAAGTTACCTAATACGCTACCAGGGTGCACCTGGTAGCCAGTTATTATGTGGTGCAAGCGATCATCATGCTAGTCTGCGTATATTTCACAAGTTACCTAATACACATGAGACTTACTCGCGAGCCCGTCATAGGGCGAGTTGACTCACGTACTCGTACCACAGGGTTAAGAATAGATTTTGGGAAACGTAAACAACAAGCTAAGTACATCCTAACCCTACATTATAACCCGAGGGGTTTAGTTATGCACCCTAGTCTTAGGAGTACATAGGGTCTAGGTATGGATAAGCCTTCTAGCATGGATGGTAAGTCATTGTAAGGACTAAGCTAAAGTCCGTGTATGAGCACATAGCTTAAAGAATCATTATAAAGACCAAGTCCGACAAGAGTCTACAAGTAGGCTGTTTAGTGAGTATTTTATACTCGTACCACCGGGTTAAGGATAGATTTTGGGAAATGTAAACAACAAGCTAAGTACATCCTAACCCTACATTATAACCTGAGGGGTTTAGTTATGCACCCTAGTGTTAGGAGTACATAGGGTCTAGGTATGGATAAGCCTTCTAGCATGGATGGTAAGTCATTGTAAGGACTAAGCTAAAGTCCGTGTATGAGCACATAGCTTAAAGAATCATTATAAAGACCAAGTCCGACAAGAGTCTACAAGTAGGCTGTTTAGTGAGTATTTTATACTCGTACCACCGGGTTAAGGATAGATTTTGGGAAATGTAAACAACAAGCTAAGTACATCCTAACCCTACATTATAACCTGAGGGGTTTAGTTATGCACCCTAGTGTTAGGAGTACATAGGGTCTAGGTATGGATAAGCCTTCTAGCATGGATGGTAAGTCATTGTAAGGACTAAGCTAAAGTCCGTGTATGAGCACATAGCTTAAAGAATCATTATAAAGACCAAGTCCGACAAGAGTCTACAAGTAGGCTGCTCAGTGAGTATTTTATACTCATCCCATGTTATTCTATTTATTTTCTAGGTGGGAGCGTGCAGCTATTGGGGTGCCCTTAGATCGAGTCGTCTTTCTTTCTTGTCATTTTATTATCTTTAAAAATTGTTTTGGTGTATTTTGAGTATACTGTTTGAACTGACCCTGAGGATGTTATTTTGTACTTTTAATCAACATAATGACAGTTTTAATGCTATTTAAATCTTAAACTTTTCCTTGTCTCCTGCTTTTAAATTTGAGAGAATTTTCGCCCTTTTTACCCTTGTGTCTACGTGGCGATCAGTAATTGGAGACATGGAAAAACGGGTCATTACAATATTTGGCCTTTATAATACCCAAGGCTTTTTCTTCTTGACGTATCTCCATATCCATTTGGTGAGGAGGGCTTTGTTCTTCATCTTTATTGAGAAAAGATCAAGGCCTCCCATTTCTGTTGGGAGGTTTGTAATATTTCATTGAACAAGGTATGGGTCATCTTTCCATAAGTAGTTTTTGAATAATCTTTCTAGGTTCACAACCACTTTTTGTGGCATTTCAAATAGAGACATGTAGTAAGTGAGGAAGTTGGATAATGTGGCTTGTATTAGAGTGAGTCATCCGCCTTTTGAAGTATAACATGATGACCATGTTGACAGCCTTTTTTCTATTTTTTCAATAATAATCTTCCAAAAGGAAAAGGATTTGTGGTTTCCTTTTAAAGGTAGGTACATATTCGACCATTCTCCCTATTTACAACCATATATGCTATCAACTTCTTCAATAATCTTTGTGCTAATATTGATGCTCATGATCTCTGTTTTTTGGAGATTGATATTTTGTCCAGAGAATCCTTCGAAGGTTTTTACCGTCTCGATCATGTTTTTTTATGGAATAGGCATCTGTCAAGTCAGGAAAGATGATTGTGTCGTCTGCGAACTGAAGGTGGTTGATGCTTAAGCCTTCATTATCGATTTCCTTTTATTTGCCCTTCGTATTCTGCTTTTGTTCGTAGGTGGCAGAGACAATCCGTTACCACGATGAAAAGAAAGGGAGATAGTGGGTCTCCTTGTTGGAGACCCCATGTGGCATAAATCTTCCCTTTCGATCTTCCATTATGATAATGGAGAAGTTTTTGGATGAGATGCATCCTTTTATCCACCTTTGCCATTTGAGTCAAAGCCTTTTTCCACAAGAATGTTTTCGAGGAAAGTCCAGTCCAATCAACCTTGTCAAAAGCCTTTTCCATGTCAAGTTTGATGACTACATCTTTTTGTTTCTTTCTTTCCCATTCATTTGAGTTTATTTGCCATGAGGGATGCATCAAGAGTTTGTTGCCCCTCTACGAAAGTTGTTTGCCCGGTAATAATGAAGAGGAGAACCTTTTCAAGAAGCTCTGATAATACCCTTGCTATGATTTTATATAGTCTGATCGTGAGACTTATGGGACGAAAGTCTGTGACAGTGTGGGTATCCAATTTCTTTGAGATCAGACATATATATGTTTCGTTTAGGTTGCCATTGATAACTCCGTTTCAAAAAAAAATCTTGGAATACTCTCATGGTATCAGCTCTCATAAAGTTCCAGCATTTTTTGAAAAAATTCTAAGGTAAAATCATCTGGTCCTAGAGTTTTGTCAGAGCCCAGATGTTTAATTGCCTTCCCCACCTCTTCTTTGGTGAAAACAACCTCGAGGGAGGTAGCTTGCTGTTGAATAATAGGACTCTAGTCAAGATCATGGTGAAATTTGCAGAGGGACTTGTCCCTTGTATATAAGGTCGTGTAAAAGGTCACAAATTTTGAGACAACTTCTTCGTTTAATAAACTTCTGCCTTGTTTGGATAGAATTTCCATGATGGCACTTTTCGTTTCTTTGTAGTCATGATACGAGGGAAAAAATTTTAGTTTGTCACCCTCCTCTAACCATCGTTTTTTACATTTTTGTCTCCAAGATTGCTCTTCCTTTGCTGCCAACGAAATAAGTTCAGCTTTCATGAGCTTTTTCTGTGTGTTGAACTAGTGTGATGGAGTCAATTTCCTCCATCTGATCAAGGATAGCCATTTTAGTTAGAGCTGGTTTCTTTTCGTGGAAATACAACCGAAAACCTTCTGTTCCATTTCTTTAAGACTTCTTTTAGTCTTTTTATGTTTGTTGATGAAATCATGCCCCGACCACCTCGTGGCGTATTCTTCTCCACCAGTATTCTACTATTGGCAAAAATTCAGAATGGATCAGCCACATATTCTCAGATCAGAAGGGCAAAGGGCCCCATTTAGGAAAATAGAATGGGATAGATGGAGGTCTATTCAGTTTTTGAACACCTGAGTAACTAAATTTTCCATATAGACCTTCTCTGAAAGTTCGCTTGTATTTCAGGGAAAACTTGCCGAAGCAAAAGGCACCATAGAAATATATTGATATTCATGAAAATACAGAAAGATAGCTACCAAGTAATTTGAGGTACTTGGGTCCTACCTCTCAAGATCGCACAAGCCTAAAGCCTAAAGCCTCTAAATAACTGCCGACCTCCCACCTCTCTCTCTCACTTTATATATAGAAATCTCTTCTAACAAACTCTTTAACTCGCTATTAACATACCCTTAATGCCTAATAATATTCCTAATTCATTCCCCATCAGAATTCCCCCAATTTTTACAAATTTTAAGTTGCCACTTCAGCCCAAAAATATATATTGATATACACACACACACACACACACATATATAAAATCATCAGAACAATCCTCAAAAGAGTGATAGATGGAAATGATAGATATAGATTACAACAAATAATACTTGCCTCATCTTTTGGTTTCCCTTCTGGAGAAGCATCTGGAATTAGCTCAGCTAATTGCGGCGGATCATCAAATGGATCATCCAGTATATATGTATGCTTAATTCTGTTCAATTGAGGCACTTTTAACTTGAAACAAAATATTTGGGGAAAAAATATAAAGATAAATTTGTGACTGCTATAGGAATACAAAATATAATGGTGTCATGAAGTTAAACTGGCAAATAAGACTCTTAAGGTTATAACAATTTATGGGACAATAGTAAATTTGTGAGCTCTAGCTGGCCTACACTTTCAAATTCCTCCAGCAATTTTGATCCTGTTATGATACATGCAAATCATAGTAGTTTTCGGTAATCTCTTTAGCCTTCAGATGCTTAGCATTCCTCTTTGTATTTTTCAGACATCAATGAGAAATAAATCGTTAAAAAAACTTGCACATACCGGATATTTTTGTATGGTCGTCCCTTCTCATCTGCATAGGCTTCATTAATCCTAGTTAAGGTGTCAAGTCCTTCAGCAACCTCTCCAAAGACCTGCAAGTTTGGAGTTTTTTTTTTTAAGTGATAATTTCATTAATGATTGAAATTTACCAAAGGAATGTAATATCCATGGTGTTTACAAAAGACCTTCTCAAGTTACAATGAAGGAGGTATAACTATAAGAAGTAAAAAATTTAGACAGTTTTCACTAAGATATAGCTTGGTAAACAATATTGTCGAAAAGTTTTGTATAGGTCCATGTCTTCTGTGCAAATATTCTATGATTTCCTTCTTTCCACATATTCTAAAAGAAAATCCTTATGAGGTTTTTCTATAATAGGGCTTTTGCATTCTTGAAAGGGTGTTCCATTAAGGCCATATCCAATAGATCCTTTACCTCCCTAGGAAATGTGAGATGTCATCCGAATATATTGAGAATCATTCTCTAGAAACTCTAAGCATATGTGCATTGCATAAACAAGTGGCTTTGTGATTCGTTTTTTCTTTCTTGCATAATGGATACACATTTGGAGAAAGATTGATGTAAGGCATTCTTTCTTTCTTTTTTTTCTTTTTTTTTTTTTAAGATTTTCACTTGCGCTAATGGCTTTATGCGCTATTTCCTAAAGGAATAACTTCACCTTTTCAGGCGGATGTCCTTTCCGTATTGTTTTTGCTAGCGTGGGATTTATTGCTTCTACTTTTTTCCCCATGTGCATCAAGGATTTTGTAGAAAAGACCCCGTCAACTGGGTTGCTAAGTCAATAGGTCTGCTTTGTTTGACAATACAATAGGAGCAAGGTAAAGGCTTAATTCGGCCCATTCCGTTGCTTCATTATCCTTTAAATTCCTACCAAACATCAAGTCCCATAATTTTTTACAACATTCACGTTTCTTTGATCGTGACTTTTTTGCTATGAGAGAGCATGTACAAAAGTGGATACCTCAAGGCTAGCATTGTGTTTTCAATCCATGGTCAGTCCAAAATGATAGTCTTCCTACATCACCCACCCTATGACAAGTTCGGTCGATGATGAGGTTTTGATGTTTCTTTATATACTTTCAAGGTCCTTTTGTAGAAGATGGAGAGGGTTGATTTTTATTTGATGTAGGAGTATATTTGGCCTTTATAAGATTTCTCCACAAGGCATTTTCTTCGTGATGATATCTCCATATCCATTTGACGAGGAGAGTTTTGTTCTTCTTCTTTATCGAGAGAATACCGAGGTCTCCCTTTTATGTTGGGAGGTTTATAATATTCCATTGAACAAGGTATGGGTCATCTTTCCACAAGTAGTTTCTGAATAATATTTCTATATTCGCAACCACTTTTTTGGCATTTCAAATAGAGACATGTAGTAAGTGGGGAGGTTGGATAATGTGGCTTGTATTCGGGTGAGTCTTCCACCTTTTGAAGTATAACATGATGACTATGTTAGCAACCTTATTTCTATTTACTCAATAATAACCTTCCAAAAGGAAAAAGATTTGTGGTTTCCTTTTAAAGGTAGTCCTATGCTAGCAAATTCTTCAATAATCTTTGTGTTAATATTGATCCCCATGATCTCTGTTTTATGGAGATTGATATTTTGTCCAGATGATCCTTCAAATGTTTTTACTGTCTCAATCATGTTTTTTATGGAAGAGGCATATGTCAAGTTAGAAAAGAGGATTGTGTCATCAGCAAACTGAAGGTAGTTAATGCTTAAACCTTCCTTACCAATCTGAAAACCTTTTATATGCCCTTCGTATTCTGCTTTTGTCAGTAGGTGACTGAGGCAACCCATTACCATGATGAAAAGAAAAGGGGATAGTGGATCTCCTTGTCTCAAACTCCATGTGGCATAAATCTTCCCTCTCAATCTTCCATTGATGATGATGGAGAAGTTTGTGCATGAGATGCATCCTTTTATCCACCTTAGCCATTTTGAGACAAAGCCTTTTGCCACAAGAATGTTTTTTTAGTAAAGTCCAGTCAACCTTGTCGAAAGCCTTTTTCCATGTCAAGTTTAATGACTACACCTTTTTGTTTCTTTCTTTCCCATTCATCTATGAGTTCGTTTGCCATGAGCGATGCATCGAGAATTTGTCGTCCCTCTATAAAAGTTGTTTGTTGCCTAGTTATTGTGAAGGGGAGAACCTTTTTAAGACATTATGATAATACCCTTACTATGATTTTATATAGTCCAATCGTGAGACTTATGGGACGAAAGTCTGCAACGATGCGGGCATCTAGTTTCTTTGAGATCAGATATATGTATGTTTCGTTCAAGTTGCCATTGATAACTTCGTTTCAAAAAAAAAAAAAAAGGAATTCTCTCATAATATCAGCTCTCATAAAGTTCCAACATTTTTTTAAAAAATTCTGAGGTAAAACCATCCAGTCCTAGAGTTTTGTCGAATCCCAGATGTTGAATCGTCTTCTCCACCTCTTCTTTGGTGAAAGCAACCTCAAGGGAGGCAGCTTGCTGTTGATCAATGGGGAAATTCGTAGAGGGCATTGTCCTTTGTACATAAGGTTGAAAGGACATAAATTCTGAAACAATTTCTTCTTCGTTTACTAAACTTCTGCATTGTGCAGATAGAATTTCTATGATGGTACTCTTTCGTTTCTTTGTAGCCATGATACCATGATCTAACCATCGTTTTTTACATTTTTGTCTCCAAGATTGCTCTTCCTTGGCTACCAACGAAATAAGTTTTGCTTTCATGAATTTTTTTTTTTTTTTTTGTATGTGTTGAATTAGTGTAATGGAGCCAGATTCCTCCATTTGATAAGAGGAGAGCAATTTCAATTAGTAGTTGGTTTCTTTTTGTGGAGATAGAACCAAAAACCTCCTTGTTCCATTTCTTTAAGACTTCTTTTAGTCTTTTAAGTTTGTTGATGAAACCAGCCATCCACGGAGGGGCGTATTTGTAATGCCGAAATTAAAAAAAAAAAAAAATAGAAATCAGCCCAAGCCCATAGAGGGGCAAATGTGTCATTTTGCCCCTCCACCTACTATAGGGGTCCAAGTGGAACCTTAATAGAGGCCACCAAAAAGAAAGGGAAGACTAGGAGAGGGTTTGGGAGAATCGAGGAGCCGCCGCGAAGACTTCGCCCAGAATCGAGGTGAGTTCTTGAATGTTTTCCAGATCTGAGACTATCCTTTACGAATTGGGACCTAATATTTGAACATGATCATCTAAGGAAGGTCTTCTACTGATTTCGTGATGAAACTTGGCAGAAATTCGGGAATTGTCCAAGAACGGTAAGCGAACTTTTGTTGCTCAAATCTCGTTCTATATTGAGGCTAAAATCACAAAAAAAAAAAAAAAAAAAAAAAAAAAAAAAAAAAAAAAAAAAAAAAAAAAAAAAAAAAAAAAAAAAAAAAAAAAAAAAAAAAA